ACAGGTGTTTAATTAGGAACAAACTTTTAAAAATTTTCTTAATTTGCTACCTATTTCACTAAAATTGATAATCACTATAAGGTATTTACTAGCAGTTATAATCACAGAGTGGTTGGGACTGTGTTTGTTCTGAGAGATTCAATCTCTCTGGAATGAATTTTTCTGTTTCCTAGTAGGTTCCTTTTCCATTTCTTTCTGGGTGCAAGGCTACTTCAGTGTTTATAGCCCAGACTTAGCCTGAATCTGTACAATATCTTAAAAGTTATTTCAATATAATGCTATTTGCCTATACAAATCTTACTAAAATAATAATACTAAAACTTATATATGAAAAATATATTTTAAATATAATGAACAATAAACCGGGTGAATTGATTTAAATTTCATAAATAAAATTTATCTAAGTACACTTCATTAGTCAATATGCTGTTTAAAATAAACTCTGGATCTATTTTCAGATCTGTACACCATCTAGGGATGATGCCCTTTTTTAAGCTTTAAAAATCCATTATGGATTTGTCAGTTGCTGCTTGGTGTCACAGCAGTTATCTCCGCAGTATGATTTTTAAAAATATTAAAACATCTTTAGTTTAATGCAAAATTTTTTTGTTTCTTATTCCAAAAACATACCTCTTAATGATGTTAATGTCATCACCCCATTACAAGGTAAAGAGCAATCACTTAAGTTTTGGCATAATATCATAGGGAAAGGAATTTTTAGTCAATAAGTGGTGAAAAATACATATATATATATTTATTTGTGTATATATCTATCTATAAATACAGATATATAAAATATGTATTTCTATTCTATATATTTTATATACAAATACATTTTTTCTTTTTAGAAACATATATATATCTATCTAGTAATGTAAACTAATCTTTCCCATTCTAATCTGGCCTCAGCTTAAAATAGAAAATAACAACTACCAATGTTTTTACAGCAGCAGAAGTGAACTACAAGTCTCAATTCCAGAATCACAAGATCCATGTCACTCCAGTTTTATGTTTGTGGTTTTCTGAGGTGCTGAAAGTCCTTTGGTATCTCCCTTTCACAGAGAGAATCAGGTTTCATAGAATATAATACCCATATATGTAATTCCATTATCTTTACAGTTTTCTATAATTTTTTCTTTGCCTTATTTGGAATTGTCTATAGATATCAATTTTATGATATTTTATCCTAATAGATAACAAAAGAGAAAGCTACTTACAGCCAATCAACATGACACAGATTGAAAAGATTTTCTCCGAATTGGTGTTAGGAGACACATTTCCGAATCCTACACTGGTTAAACTGCTGAAGGTAAAATAAAGTGCTGTGACGTATTTGTCTTTAATGGATGGTCCAGAACTTGAATCACTGTCATTGTATCGTTTCCCAATTTGTTGTCCTAAGGAATCCAACCATCCAATTTTGTCTGTCAGGTAGGGCCTTTCTACATTCCCAATTGCGTACCAAATGCAAGCCAGCCAGTGAGCTATCAGGGCAAATATGCACATTAAGAGCATTAGGACGGCAGCGCCATATTCTGAATATCGATCAAGCTTTCGGGCAACTCGCACAAGACGAAGGAGTCGAGCTGTCTTCAAAAGACCAATCAATGTTGTTGTCTGTGGAAATAAATGTGTATGGTCAGAAACAGTTGCCAAACAATTCCGTGTAAGTTCCTGTGAAGCGAAGTAGGTAGAAAGAGGTTAAAACAATATGGTAGCATTGAGGATAAATGCATATTTGAATTAAGTATTAAGGTTAGTTTTTTTTTTTTAATTTTACATCTGCTTTGGAAAATACTTTGAAAGTCTGTGGTACATTAATTCACTATCTTGACATGCAAGACTCATGGGACAGAGACTCCATCTGTCTAGTTTTATGTTCTAACCAAGTGCCTTGAAGATGATAAATACTCAGTAAATCAATTATTCACCAATAAACATTGCTGTGTGTTGTGTGCCTAGCAAGTGCCACACACTGGGATTATAGTGTTGAGCAGGCAGACATGATCACTTTTGTAACAGAAAGAGACATTTACTTACTAAACAAAATGCCTTTTCTAATGAGGAGTGATTGTAATCTTAAGTGTCACTGTCTTTTAGTGAGAGAGAGATATTTTTTTAAAGAAACAAACAATAAGCTCATCTCAGAGTGAAAAGTGTGATACTGATAATAAAACAGAGTGGTATGATAAAGGGTGTTGGGGGGGTGACTTTATAAGGAAAGACCAAAGAAGATCTTGCTGAGGAGCTGACGTTAGAGTTGAGAGAGACCCGCATACTGAGAAGAGCCAGGCAAGCAGGTCATTGGGAGACTTATCAGATGATTGTATGCATGCGTTATGCACTATATTTAAATTCATCTTTCCTTTCTAAATGTGCTAAGTTGATGAATTGTTTCTTGATGTCCCAATGATATGATGTATTTTTCTTTGGGGTGTGATATGTGTAACTAATTGCATGATTATTACTGACCAGGTATCTAATGATAGGACACTTCTATATAATAACAGGATACTTAACTGGTTGTTTGGATTTGAAATCTGATAAGTACAAATTACAAGTTCATTTCTCAGGGTTCCTAAATAATGTCAGCTGTAAGTACTATATAATTCACAGGGCATATAATTATTCCATAGTTACATGGTGTTTACCAATCAATTATTGAGTCATTTTATGTGTTCATTGTTGGTGTTTATTTTGCAGAGTATATCCAACTGTATTAAGAACACTTATATTTTAGGGCGCCTGGGTGGCTCAGTTGGTTAAGTTACTGCCTTCGGCTCAGGTCATGATCCTGGAGTCCCGGGATCGAGTCCCGCATCAGGCTCCCTGCTCGACAGGGAGTCTGCTTCCCCCTCTGACCCTCCTCCCTCTCATGCTCTCTGTCTCTCATTCTCTCTCTCGCAAATAAATAAATAAAATCTTTTAAAAAAAAGAACACTTATATTTTAATTAAAAAAATAGCACATGTCATAGTTATCGCCCTCTATCTATTCATATTGACTTGATGGGAAAAAAGCACTAAATATTAAGAAAAATAGTTTCATTAATATTCTATAATAAGTGTTGTAGTTTCTTTCTTTCTTCCTTCCTTTCTTTTCTTTCTTTCTTTCTTTCTTTCTTTCTTTTTTCTTTCTTTCTTTCCTTCCTTCCTTCCTTCCTTCCTTCTTTCTTTTTCTTTCTTTCTTTCTTTCTTTTCTTTCTTTCTTTCTTTCTTTCTTTCTTTCTTTCTTTCTTTCTTTCTTTCTTTCTCTCTCTTTCTTCTTTTTCTTGTGCCAGAGTGGTTACTAGGAGAAGGGGAGATCCTTCGGTCTCCTCTGAATTCTTTTCAGTTTGTATTGTAAGCTTCTAGAGGTGAGAGGAGATTATGCAGTTAGGATGTGCATATCACATTTGGACTCTGGTCTTTACTCATTATGGGATGTGTGGAGAAGTGGGTCTTCCTTGTTTCCAATGTTGAGTTACTAATTTTTAAGGTGGAATAAAGAAAATAGTATTTTTTTTCTTCACAAATGTAAAGAGTGTATCTCTTCTCATGAATAAATGGAGAGTTTAAGTTAGTATAAGGTAGTTCTCTGGAAGAAAAGTCAACTTTCCATCATTTGAATTATCAACATTTTAACTGATGAGCTATTTTTTTTTTAAATTTAGTTGGTTCTTCTTTTTTGTTTCAAGTTTTTATTTAAATTCTAGTTAGTTAACATATAGTGTAATATTGGTTTCAGGAGCAGAATTTAGTGATTTATCACTTACATATAACACCCAGTGCTCATCACAACAAGTGCCCTCCTTAATCCCCATCACCCATTGAGCCCATCCCCCACCCACCTCCCCTCCAGAAACCCTCAGCTTTTTCTCTATAGTTAATAGTCTCTTATGGTTTGCCTCCCTCTCTCTCTCTCTTTCTTTTTACTTCCTTTCCCTATGTTCATCTATTTTGCTTCTTAAATTCCACAGATGAGTGAAATTTGTCTTTGACTTATTTTGCTTAGCATAATACACTCTAGCTCCACCCATACTGTTGCAAATGGCAAGATTTCACTCTTATTGATGACTGAGTAATATTCCACTGTATATATATACCACTTCTTCTTTATCCATTCATCAATTGATGGATGTTTGGCCTCTTTCCATAATTTGGCTATTGTTGATAGTGCTGCTATAAACATCTTGGTGCATGTGCCCTTTCAAATCAGTATTTTTGTGTCCTTTGGGTAAGTACCTAGTATTAAAATTGATGGGTTGTAGGATAGTTCTATTTTTAACTTTTTGAGGAACCTCCATACTGTTTTCCAGAGTGGCTGCACCAATTTGCATTCCCACCAATGCATCCTTGTCAACATCTTTTGTTTCCTGTGTTGTTGATTTTAGCCATTTTGACAGGTGTGAGGTGGTACCTTATTGTAGTTTTGATTTGTATTTCCCTGATGATGAGTGTTATTGAGCATGTTTTCATATGTCTGTCTTAGCTGATCAGTTATATGTTAGGACTTTGGAACAAACAAATGGATGTATGAATTCTGCATCCATACCAGTCTGTCATCGTGGAAGAGTTGTTTATTTAATTTCTAAACCTCAAAATTTTCATCTGTAAATGGGTATAATAATACCTCCTCACAGGGTTGTAGATAATGCCCTGTAAATACTAGCTTTTTGTGTTATTTAAATATCCCATGTGCTTTAGTTTCCATCAGTAAGCAGGCACATTATATTGTGAAATGGATTGATAGAACTTAACACATTTTCCAAATGCACCACTTTGATAGCTAGAATTCCACCTGAAGGCTTTTCAACACTGGCCTTTTGGCCTCCTCAGGAAATGGCAGGAATTTTAAAGACAAGAGCCTCATCTAGATGCACTGGCTGCTTGGATTTCAGTAACAGGAATAGCCCTAGTTCAATGTGTCTCTTTCTACACTTCACAGCTTCAGTTTGTGTGTTTATTTTTTCTCCTTGCTCTGTTACCTATTTACTTGTGTTGAGAAATCAGAACTATTTGAAGATTATTGTTCAAAACTTTTTATCTTTGAAAGAAAATTTCTCTCTGAACCTCAAAATAAATGAAATATAATAAAATTCTCTAGGGTATTTGGTTAATGAAGTGAAATGCTTCAAGACAAATGAGATGTTTTAATAACATATTTTGATAATAAGTACTAACGACTCTTCTGGCAGCCAAGATAGTAAAACAAAAATGATGTTATGAAAAAAAGGAAAAAGAATCAATCTGCTGTGTAAGCCACCTCCCTCCTTTTTCCCTCCCTTCAAAAAAACACTGGTTGTTTCTTCTAGCATTATATCAAAAAGATGTAAAACCTAGGTGATAGTAAGTTCTCTAAGCAGATAAATGAATATAATTTATATAATAACACATAAGTAACATCTTTTCTGTAAAAAAATGTTTAAGAAATATAGCACATGATGAAGTCTCAACCCAATTGACATTATTCCTACAAAATAATTGCAGTTGTAGAGAGGGAAGGAGAGAAAGAGAGGAAAAGGGGAAGGGAGAGGGAGGGAAGGAAAGAAAGGCAGAGGGAGAGAAAAGGGGAAGAAATTACTAAACAGTTGTTTTACCTTTCAGTTGCTTCATAAGGTTGAGTGAAAATTGATTTCAACAGTCAAAGCCATTCTTTTGTGATTCCATAACATATACCCAAGCATAACTACATATGTTGTTTGACAATGTAACAAATGACTTGATCTTATTTTTAGTGTTGTCAAGATGCTGCTAACACACCTGGGCATTCATCCTTAGCTACTGTTGCCTACAAGATCCTCATATCTTGTAGATGACACTTAAGATTGCAATACCTCTTTTCTTCTTCTTTAAATATCTCTTTAAAGATTTAAAGTGTTTTGCCCATGTTACACAAAGAGAAAAGCGATTGCACCAAAATCTCAGAGAGAGTAGCCTAAAGAATGAACAATCTCCTCTTGCTGATTTGTTGGAGACTATTAGTCCCCATTGTTTAGTTCAATGTACTCTCTCTGTATTATGTGCAAATAAAAAATGGGACCAACAACTACCTTAGTTGTGTTAACATCAAAACTTGGCTAAGTAGAATGTTTTCAGGATACACGTTTCTCTCACAATGTATCTAATTTCATGTAATACTCAGACATATTATGTAAATCTATTTTTGTGGGTTTTTTTCCAATTTTTGAAAATAGAAATAAAACTATCTCTTTTTTTTTAAAGATTTTATTTATTTATTTGACAGAGAGAGACACAGCGAGAGAGGGAACACAAGCAGGGGGAGCGGGAGAGGAGAAGCAGGCTTCCCACAGAGCAGGGAGCCCGATGCGGGGCTCGATCCCAGGACCCTGAGACCATGACCTGAGCCGAAGGCAGACGCTTAACGACTGAGCCACCCAGGCGCCCAGAAATAAAACTATCTTTTAACCTATTGCAATAATTTAAAAAAATAGTAGAGGTAAAAATTTTTCTTAGATGTTATTTCTTAACTTGTTACCGGTATTAGAAAAAATATTGTCTGTTTATTATTACTTTTGGTAGACTAAAAAAGCATAAGAGCTCCCAAGACTTATGTGTGATTATGAATTACAAACACATCATAATAATAAAGAATATGGAGAAAGAGGTGAGCTACTTG